ATAATTAAATGGCGTCTTGGTGGTGAAAGAGTGGGGAAGATACAAAAATACAAGTGATCTGTGCTGAAGGCCGAGGGGGCTGTGCCCTCTGCTCAGCCTCTCGTTAATCCCGGGAGTGGACAAGAGGGTCAGTTTCCGGGAGGAAGGGGTCCGGTTTCTGTGCACGCCAGGCTGGAGTCTGGGAGGATGGGTAGCCTTCCCCGGGGATCTCCTCTGAAGACGTTTATCGACTAGACAGCCGTCTTCCCTCCCTGTCCTCCTGGCCCTCTGGCCCTCGCTGCTCTCTGCGCTCCCAGAATCTCTTTGGAATCATTGCCAGCGTCCTCCACCTGGGAAACATTCATTTTCAAGAAGACGACCAAGGCTGTGCCACCATCCCAGACACTCATGAGATCAAATGGATTGCAAAGGTGATGGTCCGCTTTTGGAGAGGAAAGAGGGAGGCCTGGACCCTCTGAGAGGAGGAGGGTATGGGAGGTGGTAGGATGCCCGTGTCCCAGGTGGCTACCATGTTTTCTCAGCAGATGGTGGTTAAGGGGTATAAAGAGCTCAGGGCAGGAGAGGGAGTCGGTGAAAGCCAGTTGGTGGACAGAGCAAACGTGGCCTGTTGGCCCTGGAGTACAGTGATTGCCCTGAGCCTGGATGCCCCCACAAGCTCGCTGTAAGTTAGCCAGTAAGATGGGTCACTGACTTGCACCTTGCTTTCGTTCGTTCAGCTCCTGGGGACTCACCCGTCGGTCCTTCTGGATGCTCTCACCCACAGAAAGATTAAAGCCAAGACTGACGAGGTGAGAACGGGTCTAGTAGAAACATCCTTACCTTCTTTGCTGCTGCTGCCTCCCACGGATAGCAGGAGGGTGGTGGCCCAGGGGACACAGAATCCCTGAGTCCACCAAAGCCAGCAGGCCTGCTCAGTCCAGCTCCTGCCAGGTCTCCTGCCTCAACCCCACCTCCAACGATAGCTCCCCGTGCCTCGTACTTGACATGGCTTCTCTGCCCTGGGTCTTTTCGTATGGTGTTCCCTCTGCCTGGAACAGGCTTCCCTTCGCTCTACCAGCTAACTCCTCCTCATCCTTCAGTTCTCAGGGTAAGTGCCTCGAGGAGCCTTCCCTGACTACCTCCACCCTAAGCACCAGATGCCTCTCCGTAAAACTCTTGTCATTCTCAACTTGAAACTCTTCTTTGTGCAATTCTTGGAATACCTGCCCACCCCCTCTGAGCTGCGAGCCCACAGAGGCAGGGATTGGGTGTCTTGATCACAGCTGTGTCTCAGCAGCCCAGGGCAGAGCCCGGCACATAGTAAGCACTCAGGAAATTGCTACAGCATGAACACATGCAGGTGGGAGAGCCATCTTCACTCCTTCCCGTGTCCTTTGCCACCAGTACCAGCTGCCGTTGTGTTGATTCCAACTCCTGATGCCCCCGTGTGTGTCAGAGCAGAACTGTGCTCTGGAGGGTTGTGACTGGATGATTCTTTTGGAAGCAGATTGCCAGGCCTTTCTTCCAGGGCACCTCTGGGTAGACTCAAACC